TGTGTTTTACGTCAGCATCTCGCTGTGAAGGAGATGGCGATGAGGAGGAGTGGCTTATTCACTACATGCTGGGAAAGATTGCAGAGAAGCAGAAGCAGCCTCCTGTTGTCTATCTGCTTCATTACAAACAGGCAGGTCATTACTTGCATGAGGAGGCTGCCCGATATCCAAAGAAGATTCACTACCATAATCCACCAGAACTTGCCATGGAAGCGTTGGAGGTAAAAGGAAGTTAAATATGTAGGCTTGAGAGCCTCTTTCTCTACAGATAATGGAATACCAGTTATTATTCGTTCATATTATTAGGCATCTGTACATGGTGCTCTGCCTCTAGGAACATTTACAAGACTAACCTGGAGAATAAAATGGAGCCTGTTAATGAGGTTTTGTTTTAAAGACAGTTTATGTATACAGTCTCAGTACTGGACAGACAGGCAGAAATTCAGCTTCTGGATTGTGCTGCTCACAGTTCATTAGTCAGTTCTGATCAGAATCAAACGTGGATGGGTTTCACAAGCATCTCATAGCTATGAAAGCATAAGTTCATGAATGAGTTGGAATAGTAGTCATAACACTTTTGCTTTCACTGTGTTGTCTGGTAAAAATAGTGGATCTAGAGCTCATACCCAAGTGGTGACTTGCTTCCAAGGAGACCAGATCTGCTTTCACTGTTGTATTCCATAGGTTACAGTTAAAAAACTTTTAACAATGTTTGGATCTTGTAATTTACAAGCAACTTTCAAAGGCAGGAAAAGTCATATTCAGGTAAGTTTAAGTAACAAATTACTGTCTTTACTAACTCCTGCAATTTCTACAGATAAGAGACTATTTGTAACAGGTTGCAGAGCTATGAATTCTCTACTGACCAAATGGACTTTGGTGTTTTCTAGGTATACTTTCGACTCCATGCTTCTATTTTGAAGCTTGTGGGGAAACCAGACTCTGGAGTAGATGCAGAGATACTAGTTAGTTTCATGAAAGAGGCTTCTGAGGGACCATTTGCCAGGGGTGAGGAGAAGAACACCCCAAAAGTTGCAGAAAAGTGAGTACTAATTTCCAGAAGTATCCTCTGAAAGCATAGTTATAAACTTACTCTATAATAAACTATTAAAATGAAGCTGAATGAAATGTAAACAAAAAAAAGTTATGAGAATTAATTCTAATGTTTGCAGTTTTCAGGTATCACGAGCAGTAAGATTATACGCTTCTCAAAAAGTTCACAGTGTAGATGAGAAGGGAACAAAATAGAACAATTTTGACCCTCTGATTTGTTTTGAAGCCACTGTTTTTATTTATTAATAAAATATTCTTTTAAACTAGCTATTAACAAATGCAAAAGCAAATGGCTTTTATTTTAAAGGATAAAAGACTTTAGTCCTCATAATTTGTCTCATTTACAACTACAGCATTAAAGAATGTTTTGCTGTATAAACTGTACAAAAGGTCCATAATTTAGAGTTTGTTAGTAAGATTTGAATACTGTGTTGGAACTGTCATAAGAACACGTAGTCTCCTTTTGTTCTTTGTATATGTCCTTAGTATGTTAACTCTTTACCTTTTTTCTTGCCCCTCCCAGGGAAAAAGCTTGCATGATTGATGAAGACTCTCACTCTTCAGCCGGAACAGTGCCGGGCCCTGGGACTTCCCTCCCCTCATCCTCTGGTCCAGGTCTGACATCCCCACCTTACACAGCCACTCCAGTTGACCACGATTACGTCAAATGTAAAAAACCCCGTCAGCAGGCAACGCCGGACGGTACAGTCCCTGTTCTCAATACTGGCAGCACAGGGAGGTGCTCTAATCATGGGGGGTTTGACCAGGAATGATCAAACTGCTCATTTCAAGGAGGGTGATGGGTCTGTGGTAACACGGGCAATATTGAAGCTCATTACCTTTATAAATTCAGTGCTTTAAATAGAATCAATGTAGAGTCAGAGCTTTAAATACAAAATTCAGAGTTGTCACCTGCCACCATTGGTACCTGTCACCTATTCCAAGCGGGACTGTCGACAGGAGGAGTATGTTGCTGACTGAATTTTCAGTCGTTTATTTATTTATTTTCTCCAGAGCTAAATGTCCATCTGAGCTTACTGGGAATGATGTGGGTCCAGTCTTTAGAAGACTGGGCACTGCTTCAGTGCCTGTGTGAAATAACCAGGTGAAAATTTGAACTGTGGCTGAAACAAGACAAATTGTTAAAAAGGCAAAACAAAACAGCGTTATCCTTTTCTGAAGGAGGCAGGTGGCAACTGTTTTGACTATATTGTGTATCAGCACGAAGTGATTTGCATGACAGTTCAGTAGACTTCATCTTTTAATTTTTCTTTATCATTTACAATGACTGGTTAGCAGCTCATCTCTATAGAATATAAAGTGATACAATAAATAATTGGCTTATAAATGCAGAAGGTAGGGTGATACCACAATGTTATTGAAGATTTTGCAATATACTTATATAGTAGAAATTAAGTTACTATTTAAATAACCTGACATTATTATTTGGCTAGGAATTTTATTCTGATTCTACTCTTCTGGCCACTTGTTTATCCATCTGGATTTATAAGTATCAGCACTAAAGGAGGAGTAAAATATCTTCAATGTATAGCTTAGTGTTGGCAGAATGTGGCAGACATGCTCTGCTTGATATGATTTTCTTTCTGGAGGGTGGGCTGCTTCCTATTGTCATTTCCTGAAGAATGGTAATTTGTAAATAACTTTCTTGACCGAAATGTTCATATGGCTGAAAACTCTGCAAGGTGAATTTATTCCTTTTCCCCAACAAATAATCCTTGGTGAAACTGACAGAGGATCCTTCCTTTCTTTCACTTAACTGAATAGAGAAATGTTCATTTTATCCACGCTTACATTTCAGTAAGGAGTAATTCATGGGTCTGTTTTGCTCTCATATGTAGTGTGTTAGTGTGCATGGGTTATATAGTGATCAGGCTCTTATATTAGCCTTTTGATGTCTTTTGACACAGCAAATACAGAAGGGAGCAAATATTTAAATATTTCCTAAATAATATTCCCTGTGAGAAGCAGTCCTGCCTAAGACTATATCTGTTTAGGTTCTGAAGACTGTTGAAATGTTCCCAGGAGATACATAAGTTAGATAAATATTCCAATATGTGTCGTTAGTACCTTCCCTCAAAGTAAGTTATTATGGACTGTGGCATGCTAATTGCCCGATGGGAGCAGAGTTGGCTGCTTAGCAGAGCCTGAAGGTGCAAGCTAAGGAACGTCTGCCTCTGCCAGGGCTGAAGGAGCAGTTCTTGGGTCTGCTCGCTTTGCCTAGCTAGGACTAAGCTTTGCCGCTGTCAAAGCAATTCAGCGTGTCAGCTGCTGAAAGAAGCTGAGTTAGGGTGATCTTTAGGAAGGCTGTAGAATTGCCAAGTACTGCATCATTCATAATGTTTTGTAAGTTGCAGGCACAACTAAATTCTGAATACAGCACATTGGAAAGCCCCAGGAAGTGGAAATATTTGCCTTGGGGCTGCTACAGATGGAATGAGAGCTAACAGGCTCAGCCATGCTCAGGTCTTCCACTTTTATATTACTACATATACTGTGCTCCTCTGTGTGCATTTGCATTTTACTTGTATTAAAATATATACTTTTGAAGTAAAATGCTCATGACATCTTACATGTAATCACATCACTGAAGAAAACTGGTGCCTGCATGTCCATTGTACCATTCCTAAAAATAGCAAGAAAATAGCCATCATTTGACTACTCTCTAGACTTTTATTTTTTTTTTTACCATTCTGACAGCAAACAAAACAGTCTATGTTGTTGTTCACAGAATGAATAATTTGGCCTAAATTCAGCCTAGATATTTATTCTTTCTGAGGCCTGACAATACTCTTATTTACTCTTACTCTTGTTTCTATATTGTAGATCATATATGACATAAACAAAGTAAGAGCATTATACAGTCTTACCTACAAAGTTCTCTTCATATGTTACTACAAGCAAACACGCTAGTTGGGATCCCTGTCACTGTGAACCTGCAGGACCTTTTTTGACCATTTTTGTGTGCTATGCTTCAAGAAAACATGACCTGAGAAGAAAGATGAAAGGAATTGAGATGGTTTGTCTTGGGAGGAGAAGACTAAGGGGAGACATGAGAGCAGTGTAACCTCAATAGTGTCAAAGGCTGTACAGTTAGAGGCCAAAACTAAGGATTTCCATGTCCATGAGAGATGTTACAGGTGGTATTAGAATGAAATTGCATTTTTCAATCCGGACATTAGAAAATAGTGTTAGAGTAGTATTAGGAAATACTATTTAGAAAAAAAAAAAGAAGAGTGAAACACTGTAATACGTTCCTGGGGTTAGTGTAACACTGCAACTTTTGCACTGGAAGTCTTTAAAAAGTGGCGATACAGCCGTCGGCCAGGAATGGTGGAGATGTAATTTATCCTGATGGAAAAAGGAATGGACTAGATGAACTTCTGTGGTTCCTTCTGAGCCCTTTTTTTTCTATTAATTTTCTGTTGTTTGTGGGGTTTTTGGTTTGTTTCTTTTTTGATGTTTTGTTGTTTTGGTTTTTTTAACAAGATGTTCAGCAATGTGCTTTCTAGTGCAGCAAATTATCTTATTATAAACAGGAGAGAATTACTACACAGCCAGACATCTTTTATTGAAAATGTTGGGGCTGATCTTCAAGCGTTCATCTGGAGATAGGTGAAGTTGTAAGGGCAGACTTATTTCAGATACACTATATTTAAATGTGTCATGGTTCTGTAGCTCTCCAGCACATTTTGCTGGTGGAAAAAGAAGACTAGGATATGCAGAAATCACTGCTGAAAGTTGAGAGCATTGAAAAGCTTTATATCCAGTGGATGCTAGTGATATGACTTTTAAGTCATATATTTACTGGAAATGGGAGAAAAGAACCAGTAAATACAGCTTGTAACTTCTTTTTCCTCATGGCTGCTGCTAGCATATCTCTCCTTCAAGGAGACAGAAGTATTGCTGAGTGGCAGCTGTTATTTGCTGGCTGACTAGCTGCTGTCATGTGTGTAAAATAGAGAACTTCCTTTCTCTTTTCTCATCCTTCCATTCAGCAACATTTTTTTCTTCCTTCTGTTAATCCTGTCTTTCCTGTCATCACCCCTGCCTGTTGCTGTTTTATAACCCTCCAAAATGAAAAGTTGCATTTGATAGTAGAAGCCTGAGGTTTAAACTCTTATTTTCCAAGGGCAAAGTAGGAAACAAGAAAAAATGGGAATTCAGCAGGGACCAAGACTATCACTGCCTGGGATGTCACTGTATTTACACAACTAAACGGCCAGTGTTATATACCAAAACAGAATGCTCGTTGCCCTCCTTTACACAGGCTGATGTATGTAGTCAGTAAAGACCAGTAGCACTACAGACTTGAACCAGTTTAAATTTACCTAAATTTTGTCCTAGGCATTAAAGTTAGTTCAAAAAAAGCAGTAAAAGTATTAAAATTAAAAGAAAATAAATCTGAATAAGAAATCTGTTTCCCAAAAAGTGGACTAGGAGTTCGTTGCGAGGTCTTTTTTTCTGTAATATGCTTTTGTTGTGTTGATACTCAGTTCCACAGTATTGTGGGGGTGTGCAGATGATGTATTCAGTATCCATTGCTATTGCAGTGTTAAAATGTCGTATTGTTTAAGTCCTCATCCATGTCATGTAGTGTGTTGTGTGTAGTTAGACGTGATCGTCTTTTTTTGTGTTTGTCTTTGCCTGACTGCTTTTGCAACCAATATTGCCCGTGCTGCCTCTAACCTTTATACAAATCTCTGTTCCCCAGGCATTCTCTTCCTGCTTTTACCTGTCACGGCTTGCTTTTAATAATTGGCAATACCTGCATGATAACCTCACTGAGAAAGGCTACTCGCTTCACGCTGTGGGAGAAGTCTCACTTCATAGTTTGTTGGTCTGTAATTCTGCAAAAGTTATGAAGATGCACAGTTTTTTGTAAATGGAGGTTCTCCACATCCTGATGAGACAAAGGTGATCTCTGAGAAACTTTTTTGCACCAGATTGTCACTCATGCCAAACTAAATAAGCTTCTAAGATGGAGTGGATATTTCTGTGCACAAAAATAATGTCCACATTGCGTTTTGAAACATTTAAACCCTACCCTTCAAAATTCTCTCTCTCCAGCAGTTTAAAATGATGTTTTTTGGTCTGCAGTACATATCCTTTCTGGCACATGGTACTGGATGTTTATGGGGACTGCACACTGGACTACATGAATAACCAACCAAATCCAGTTTATTGCAGTGTGCTCCATTTTTACCTTTCCCTAATTTAGCCTCTCTCTGATTAGTAAAAGTATCACACTGACATTTAGTGTGAGATTATGTAAAAAGGATTTGACTAAATAAAAGGAACATTGATGAGGTACTATGTTACTTTGCACTTGAAGACAGAAGAAAAGCCATATAGGACTGCAGGTTACTGAAACCCTCTGTGTTCACTGCAGCTGGGCAAAACACAGACTCTCATCTTTGACTCATAGGAGAACTCCCTTTATTAAGAGGACTTGCTGTCCTCAAGAAATTAACCTGCTCCCATGCAAATTTCTGCATTTTTTTTTTTTTTTAAATAATGTGCAAGTGCATTTGATACAGAGCTGAACGTTGTCTTCTGTTATGGGTGGAATCTGTTTCAAGAATGAGAATTGTGTGATATATCATGTTTCTGGCTACAGATCAATAAAGAAAAATGCTTATCCATACAAGTAAAGAGGAGAGGAGAGATGTGGTGCCAGGTAG